TCATTGAATAGAGACTAAAAAGATAGGAAAAAGGATGTGAATTGATTCCAAGATCGACTGAAGTTTACTTTAAAAGAAGAAAAAAAAAAAAAACAACCCACCAGTTCCTAATACCTATGTATTTTCAGCTTCTTTCCTTTAAGGAGGACCACAGCGAGACCTTCCAATAGATTGATGGTTCCAATTGGCTGAAATGTCATTTCCCTTTATAAAACCCTTTATTACTTATAAGTGCACTTTTTTTCTTTAAAGATTTTATTTAGAGAGATAGAGAGAGAGCACAAGTAAGCAGAGCAGCAGGCAGAGGGAGAGGGAGAAGCAGGCTCTCCACTAAGCAGGGAGCTGGATATGGGGCTCAATCCCAGGACGCTGGGATCATGACCTGAGGTGAAGGCAGCTGCTTAACCGACCGAGCCACCCAGGCACCCCATCCATAAGTACTCTTTATCAGGGAACTCATTATCCCAGACAAGGGGCCTTAGTAACCTTGTTGGAGAAATGGCCCAGAAAGGGGCTTTACTCAAGTACATATAGTAACATAGTGACGGATTTAGGATTAGAAGTCCAATCTCCTGTTTTCAACCCTGAGCTTCCCCAAGTCTGATACCCCAGGCGTTTTCCCACAAGGTAAAATTTACTGGGGGTTCTGGGGATCTTAGCTACTAGACATAAAAATGAAAGAGACACAACTCACACTTGTAAGTATAATGAGACGCTCTTGTTTCGGAGTTCAATTCTTGGCAGGTTTTCTGGAACAGGACTCCGTTCTCAATGCCAGACGCCCGCACGGCCACCCGCGTGCCCCTTGGTTTCATTACAGCACAGCTGCAGAGAGATGAGGTCTCCTGTGTCCCCAGTCCTTGGTCAGCCTGCAGAGGCAACAAGGGAAACATGGAACACGTCTTGCCTGAGCAATCTGATGACCAAACCGGCTATTAAAAACAACAACCGCGATAATGACAACAAACTTGGCTCATCCACCACTTGGATACCTTCGGCTGCTCGTAGTAACAAACAAACAAACCCCCTCAAGCAACCCAGGATGTATTACGGAACAGGAAATGCAGAGTTAGAGCCAGGGTCACATTGGGCTGATTCAGCAGCTCGGTGGTCCCATCAGGTGGCGGACTCTCTCCATTCTTGGCGCCTTTTGCAGTGCAGTGCCTGATGCTTGCCCCTCGTGGTCTCCAGTGGGGGGCAGTATTTCCAGGTCTCAAACCCACATTCGGAGGCAGGGACTTAAGGAGTCACTTCTTCGAAGAAGATCTTTCTCAGAAGTTCCTAAACAAATCTCTTCTCCCAATACTGGGTGGAACGTGGTCAAGAACCCACTCTGAAACTAACTACAGCCAGGACGACAGGCTCAGACCATTCATGCTTCACCCCCCTGGAACTGGGTCCTGTGAGGGTGGGGACTAAAGAGGGGTGGGGAGGTAGACCTCTGACCCAATCAGAGCTCTGCCAGAGGAACACAGGGGTGGTTGTGTTGGAGGGAGACCATCGACAGCATCTGCCGCACCAGCTCTGAGCTATAGGCCACCTCTCCTGCCAGGACTTGTTCCCTGAATCAGGTGTTTCAGACCTTCGAAGGTGAGGAGAGGCTGTTCTGACAGGGCTGGAGGACCTAGGGATCTGCGAATGCTCATAGACGGCTTCATCGGGTGTCAATGTTGGCTTCAGGTAAAACTTGCTGAAGACTCTGGAGACCTTAATCTGGAGTCAGCGATGTTCTAGGGGTGGGAATTTAGGCCAGGAACACTGATAGGGCCAGGCCACTGTGGGCAAAGAGAGAGCTTTGGGGGCAGGTAGACCAGTATTTTAAAGTTCTCCTTAAATCATACCTAGACAGTCACTATTGACTTACCCCCAGGTATAATGATATGGATAGGAAAGTGAGAACCATGAATGAACATCAGCGTGTATTTTTTTTTTTAACACCCAGCCCATGTTTTATAATAGGATTCAGCCCTGCTAAAATAAAAATGGATTTTGGATGACTAGGTCACAAGCTTCTTGCTTTTCCTTTTCTTCTTCCTCTTTTTCTTTTTACTTGCTTTTGATTTTTAAGAATAATGAACATATTCTCTTTTATAATGGGAAAACAGAGTAACTTTTATTTGGGAAAAAAAAAAGGTAGTTGTCATTTAAAACAGCATAGGAAATCCCCACCTCAAATAAGCAGTCTGATGATTGCTTTTGTAATAGCTGAAAATAAACCAACTTTATTTGATTCAGTCAATACCAATCAAGACTGGAAAACAAATTTATTACTGGTTCAGATTCATGAAGAAAACATTCAGCAATATCTTCATTAAAAGGCAATTTATATTTATTAAGGCTAGAAAGCAAGTCCTGCTATTTTGTCACCACAGTTAAAGGTCTTGAGAAAAACAAGTAACCATCATTTGGAGTGTCTTTATAAAGTGTAATGTTTGTTCTTTTATAAAAGCTAGGCATCTTTTGCTAAATTAGTTAACCCCTAGCTTTTAGGATGGGACAAACATGAGGTCAAGAAAGTAAGACAAAGTTCAAACATCAGCTGGGTATTTTATATTTTAAGTATATGCATAATCATTATTGTGAAACTTCTAACTAGGCATAACATATCTTAGATAATTGGATCCTTTAAACTATGTTCTCCCCCCCCCAAAAAACAGATTGCTTTTATAGAAACACGTATTAGCCGAAACCCTGTAATGAGGCAATCTTTCATTTTATTTTTTGGTTAGTGAGGGGAGCATTGGATCTAACTCCTCAAGTAACAAATAAAATGATGCACACTTTGGATCATACCTCATGGTGAAAGGAAAGCATCCTGCAACTAAGCCAGGAGAAGAATATTGGCAAAGGTAGAGGAATACGCATTCATGAAGGGGGCACATGTTACTTGATTTGAATGCTAAAAAGCACTGGATAGAAGACACTGGGTCTTGTTTGCAGAAAGACTTGCCAATGGCTGAATTCTGACTCTCAAATCAGTCATTAGGATCAGACAACCCCTAGCCAGGAGCTGTGAAAACAGCTGGGGGCCTGTTTTCTTTGTCCCACTCCCTTTGCTACACCGACGTGCTTCTAGAACAGCATCACTGTGGGTCTCTGGAAAGTAAAGTGCTTCTTAGGTCATCGTGCCTGTGTTGCTAAACTCAGGGAAGGGTTTCTGAGGACAACAGGATTTACACTAATTATAAGTCCTCTGGGATCATTCAAGACTTCATCTCCCAAGAGGCCAGTTCAGGGCTTACCCCTACAGTAAAAAGAACTGCTTCCTCACCATGCTCCTTTTTCAAACATGTCTCGGGACTAAGTTCCCAGGGAGTCCCTGGGAAGGTTCCTTTAGGGATGGGAATGAATCAATGCCTCCTGCCCTTGCAAAGCTCTCAGGCTAATAAAACGTCCTACTGAGAAATTTCCTCTTCCTCAGTGGGCTCAAGGGGCTCCTGTTTCCTCCCTTCTGCTCAGATTGGCGGCCACGTGATTTCTTCAGAGATCCCAGAAGGCAGGCCGGTCTGGGGGTGGCCGAGGTGAGGATATGTGGATGTTTCTATGGAAAGGACCGTGCTGCCCTGACCTTCCTGAGCAATGAGCTAGGTCCCGGGGCTTTCTGGCACTCAGGACCTCACTCTACCCACAGGCAGCCCAGATGGGAGGACTGCTGAAGGTGACCGTCTATGGCGGGTGGCTTTTCTCACAGCGCATCACTAGGACAGAGGGCTGATGATTAGCTCGTTTTTCTTAGTTTCCTCTGCACAGGTCCCCAGGCTTGAGCCGGGTGAGCTTTGAAGGAGGTGAAACTCAAGGAGAACGACTGAGGAGTGAAATATTAGCTAAAACATGTTCCTTTTTCATCTGGCAGGTGAGTCAGATGGCAGGAAAATTAACCCAGATGGGGCATCTACTTTTCCTCAGGTTCAAACCACATGGTTTCCCAGTCAGAAAGGCCCACGAACTTTCTTCCTAAGGTGTTCCATGATCATGCCATCTCTCACCCGTCAGAGGTTGCAGCCAACTCAGCCAGGAGCCACACCCGGCTGGCAGACCCGCATTCGAGAACCACTTAAAGAGACTGGAAAGTCAGTTTTGGCCAATTCTTGGTTGGTAGTGACATGACATCAGCAGTTCAAGACTTAGATCATGAGAGAGAAGACCTGTGTGAAAGATTCCCAGGGAACATCGAGCCTCATAAAGAACTTCTCTATCTTCACCCCCACCCCCCCCACCCCCAATCTGCTTTCTCACAGACCAAAATTGACTCGTGGATCAGTCAAACCCAGGCATGGCATCTCCAACAAAACTACCCCTAAGCAAGCAAACCCCATGGCTGGTAGACCCCGTGGGCCTTTTGGCATCGACACTTCTCCCCCTCCCCTTTGCAGTCACCCTGGTTTGTGACTGCATGCCAACTTCCCTTCCTCAAAAGGCCTGGACAGCCGAGAACCAGACGCTGGTGTCAGCCAGATACACAAAAGCATGGTGACCTTCTCAGCACTGCAGCCAACAGAGACCGTCTGAAGTGGTGTTCCAGTCTGGTCTTCAGTGTCCCATGTGACCAGAGCGTCAGAAAGCAGAGAGGGACTGAAGATGTATGTGCCGGTTGCCCAATCCACAGCCTGCTGGCCCTCCATTCACTCTCTCTGTCTCCCCGCAACGCAGTGGCTCTCTTTCTAGCAAGAACTACGATGGCGTCTGTCCTTGGCCGTGGAGTTACCAACAAAGAGGAGAGGGGGAGGGGACACGGTGTTGCATATTCCTAATGCAGCCGAGCAGCTATTCTGATATTGGCGTGGGGCCAGGGGCAGTCCCCTAGGTGGGCTCTCCAGCACTGACCCCAAACACACCGAAATCTGGACCAGGCCCGAAGGCTGAGCCCTTGTGTGTTTCCATCATTTCTGCTTGCAGATGCCCGCGTGATCAGATGGGGTGGGCTGGGACCCTCCTAAGAGGCAGCAGGCTGGGGTCCCACGAGGCCAGCGAGATGTGGCAGGCAACCAAACGATGTTTTCCGACGCGGTGCGGAAGGGGAGTCTGCGAGGCCGGAGTTCCTTTGGGAGAAGCCGAGTCCTTCTGCTGCCGGGCGGGGGGCGGGGGGGGGGGGCAAGGCGGCCGAGCTCAGGACCGGCTGAGGCGCTTGGCCACATCGGCGTAGGCCGACTCGATCTCCTTGTCTGCTGCACAGGTGTTGGTGAACTCATCCCGCGCGTATGCGTTCTTCAGGTACCGCCACAGGCCCGTCATCTCCGCCGGGAAATCGTAGTTGCGGTACTTCTTGGCCACAATCTACAACACAAACAGCAGGACAGAGAGGGCGTGAATGCACGAGACAAACCAGTGGGACAGAGTTAGTGCTGGGACCTGGTGGGCGCGGGGGGAACCGGGGTGCACATGCGTGCATCACTCACCGCGAGCCCGCCGACAGCAAAAATGTTTGTCATGCAAGGTGGGGGTGCTGCCTTCTTTCCATCTTCTCTAATCTTATTTATTTTGTAAGTCAATATAATTTGCCCTTTGACCTAGGCATTCTGCTTCGGGGAATTTTCCTTAGGAAATGATCACAAAGATTTAGCTACCTATCTGTGATCACGTGAGGAAGAGTAAAAAATGCAATAGTGAAAAAATGGCAGAGGAAAATAATGTTCTGCAATAGGTACGTGGATAAATGCATTATCATAGGTAAATACAATGCCATCCTGGAGAGCCTTTACAAATGATGCTGCAGAAGTTCCAGGCATCTGGAAAACTCTTTGAGATCATTAAGTGGGTGCCTGGGTGGCTCAGTTGGTTAAGTGTCTGCCTTCAGCTCAGGTCATGATCCCAGGGTCCTGGGATTGAGCCCTGCATCGGGCTCCCCACTCAGTGAGGAGTCTGTTTCTCCCTCTGCCCCTTGCTCATGTTCTCTCTCTTGCTCTATCTCAAATAAAGAAATAAAATCTTAAAAAAAAAAAGATTGCTAAGTTTCAAGTGCAGTGCAAAAAAATTAATAAAGAATTTTTTAAAGTGCAGTATAATGCATTTGGAGAAATATGTGAGGCGACTAGAAGTATATATACCAATATGTTACCAGTGGTTATGTCTGACTGATAGAATTATAAATTTTTCCCATCATCCACTTTTTTTTTTTTACATAAACACTCTTATTTATAGGGGAGAACAAAAAGCATAAAAAGTAAGTTAGATGTTGGACTGTACATGCAGGTTCAATGTATGATGTGGGAGTGAACAAATCATAATTTCTATTCTCTTCTAGTTTGCCACATGTGAGGGCAGTGGATGGGCGTTCTGGGGAGGTGCTGTTTGTGCTGAAACAGTAGCATAGTGGTTAAGAACATGGGCTCTGGATCCCCACTGACTGGGTCTGCAATTTTACTCCACTATATAAGAGCTGCGTGACCTTGGACTACTTAGCCTCCCTGAACCCCAATTTCTTTGTCTCTAAAATGAAGGTAATAATAGGACCTACCTTGGAGTAACAGATTAGTTAATACACATAAAATGCTTAGAGGGGTGGCTGGCTCATACTGAGTGCTCAAGAAACATTATCTCCTATTATAATTCACTGAGACCCATCTTCTGCCCATTGGCATGCAGAGAGGGTGACCTGTGTAGTTACATGGGGCCTCAAACTCAGAAGGGCTTGCTTTTGGTTCAACGCTCTGCTGTCACCATCTGGAAATTCTGAGTACTTTTTAACAGGGGCCGCTTTATTGTCACTGTACACTGGGGTCTGCACATTAGCTGGTCTTGCTTCTAGCCCTCTGGGGCCGGCATGGGAATAGCGAAGAGTAGCCTTTCTCCTAAGGCACTGACTTCTGACTCCTTTCCTTGCTTTCTTTTTAGAGAGGTCTTCAGACTGCTGGCCCTGGGATCCTCCCACTCAGAGAACCCCCGAGTTCAGCTACTCTGGGCTTTCATTTTCATTTTGGTGCCAGTGATGTTCAGGGTTCCCTGGAAAGCTATGCTGAGTGAACACAATGATGACCTGTTACATGAAAAGCTCAGCCTCATGGGTTTGACCACATTCCCAAGGAGCATGCATTTTCCTCCTCCGTTCTCCTGCATCAGTTTGGAAGTTGTGTTACAATAGTAAGCTCTGAATTGCAGTTACTGTTTTAGTATCCTCTCTCTCTTCCCTAGCTTGTGAGCAGTATAAGGAGAAGGACAGGAACCCCAGCTTCATTTTTATACTGCCTGATAATAACACTAGGATTTTTTTATTTTTTTAAGAATTTATTTATTTGAGAGAGAGAGAGAGTACAAGCTGGAGTGGGTAGCAGAGGGAGGGAAGAGCAGGCTTCCTGCTGAGCAGGGAGCCCCAACGATAATGCAGGGCTGGATCCCAGGACCCTGGGATCATGACCTGAGCCGAAGGCAGATGTTTAACCAACTAAGCCACCCAGGTGCCCCTCAATAACACTGTTTCTAAGAGTAGTGACACTAACAAGCATTTATTTACTATGTGCTCTGCTCCAGGCTGTTTTAAGCACTGTGCAAGCCTCTTAAACCTCTAAATAACTCTATAAGGAAGAGTGCATTATATTCCCATTTTACGGATGAGGGACGTAAAGCAAAGAGAAGTTAAGTAAGTAAGGATTCAATAAACAGCTGTATTGCATCTTTACATCTCAGATATCTTCAGGTATCCTAAATCAAAGTGCATCTAGAGTCAAATGGAAGAAACTCACTTAATTTTAGAGACTGCAGATCCTTAGCAATGAGTAGACTGAAGCCACAAGAGCATAAATAGGTTACACCACGTGACACAGGAAATTAATTCAACCAGTATCTTTTGAGTGATCACTAATGTTTATTATAGTCCTTGCTTTTCTTTTTTTATTCGGGTATAGTTGACACACACTGTCACATTAGTTTCAGGTGCACAACACAGGGATTAGACAAGTCTATATGCTCTGCTGTGTTCACCAGTAGGGAAGCCCCCATCCGTCACCGTCGGACGCTATTACAGTTATCATTGCCTCTATTCCCTCTGCTGGGCCCGGTATTCCCATGACAGTCCTTCCCTTCTCTCCACGCGGCCACCCAGCTGTCTGCAAACGAGAAAGGTAGGGCTGTACTCAGGATCCCTTGTGTGCCAGTTTATTGCTGCTTATCTCCAAACCACCCTTGTGTTTGTTTCTTTGGGACGCTGGGACGCATGGGTGGGGACTCTGCAAATCACATCTGTTCCGCCAGGGACTCCCTGTTAGGCTCTTCCAAGAGGGGGCGCTAGAGAGGGTCTGCTAGGCTGGAGGAGGGAGAAGGGCTGCCCCTTTCTGCCCTGGACATCCCGTGCCCGTCAGACTCTCCTTTGCTCCAGCAGCAGCAGCTGAGTCCAGTTTTCTTGTTTTGCCACCACTAGTGGAACTAGTGTCCTCACCCTGGCTGAGAGAGGCCAGCACACAACAGTGACCCCCTGCAGGGGTTGGGGGCCAGTCCCCTGGGCCGTCCCCTGAACTCAGCCCCCAGGGGCAGCTCAGCATGCCCTACCTCAGAGGTCCAAGGTTGGGCTCTGCAGGGTCCCCTCATCTAAGTTGCCAAGTTTTAGATCCTTCTGACCTCTTCCGTTTGCCTCCCCTGCCCTAGGGGGTTGTAGCCGCCTTATTAAGGTAGAACCTCGTGGTATACTTTGCCTTCCTAGTACTTTAGTACTTACTGCTTCTTTCTATTAAATTCTCTTGGTTAAGAGAACTGGTTTGGGGTGGTCACCAAGGAAGCCACATCCCCACAATGCTCTGTCCAGCTTCGGTGCAACTAAGAAGCAAAGGGGATGGCATCTGAGTCCCCTGGCAGAGCACTCGCCACAAGCAAATGCTGGGGCCAACACCCATTGCCAGTTCTCCTTGACCTCCTCCTGTTCACTGCAGGGGGAGGGTCCCCTGGGTTTGCCCAGGAGCCTTTGAGAAGAAGCTGTCCTGGCTAAGGAGCAAGACCAGGCAGGAGGGACAGGTCACAAACTGACAGACAGAGTGGCCTCAAGTCTCTCCATGCTGGGATTTGTTTTCATTTTTAAAGGATGCGCTATGAGATTTAAGACAGCAGAAGGGAGACTTATGGATATATACTTGTGCTTATGTCTCCTTTGCTGTTTGCTTCAGGGGCTGAAGCAGGTCACCGTGCTAGGCAGGGGTCCCAGGGGCCGCTCCAGAAGGCCCGCCATGCCCCTCCCTGCCCGGATCTGCACGCCCTGAGCCTTGGCCACATCGCTGGTTCTTTCCTCACATATTGGCTTGCCTTGAGGAGATGAGGACTAGAAGGGAGCCGGACAGCGAGAGTTCAAACCAGGCTTTCAGGGAGAATGAAGATGAACCTGAACAAGAGCCAGGTAAGAGAGCGAGAGCACGCGAGAGAGCGCGGGGAGGCTGTGCACACGGAGCTCTGACGTTCACAGGAACTTCCATGCTCATGGTCTGAATTTGCTCTTTCATATGAAAAAAGTTAGCTCCCACAGCCCAGATTAGGTTTTGGCATCAGGAGCCAAACTGGAGGCCTGACTTGGCTCCCCCTTCACTCTTTCTGCAGGACGGGGCTTTGCCAGGTCTCTGGGATCTGATAAGCTGGATCAGCAGAAATCCAAGGAGACAGAAGGCGAGGCCCAGCCTTTGTCCCCTCGCAGGCCATCCTCCCTCTGATCCCCAGCTTCTCCAAGTGAACCGCTCACTGAACTCCATCCAAGGACACGGGCGGAGCATCGTCCTTTAGGGCTGGGAGGAGCGGGAGGGGTTGGACGATGAAGCACAGGGCCTTGGGGATCCATTTGTTTACCTTATTCGACAGGAAATTCTTGCACAGGTAGTCAATACATGTTTGAGTAAGACGGAAGGAAGGAGCAAAGGAGGAGAGAAGAAAGAGGCAAGAAGGAATATACTTCATAATCTCTTCGCTTAGGCATGAGAAAAATGAATTTCCAGAAAGATTCAATGACTTTCCCCGGCTCATGCTGTTAGTGGGTGGCACATACAAGACTAGGATGTGATCTCATGACTTTCTGAATGGGGGGTCTTTCCATTACGTCACGCTGACACATTGGGACTGAACTAGAATCATACCATCCCTAATGATGCCACTTGTTCCTCGGGAAAAGAGAATAAAAGATGTTTCCGTGGGTGTGGTGGGGCATGCGGTCATTAAGAACTTCAAAGACATGGAGCTTGGCTGGACTTACAAGTAACCATTGGCTTGGCCCCGAACCCAAAGCATCTTCATATTAATAGATTGCATTTTCCCAGCCCATCAGGAATGGCACATGTGATTCCGGCCCAGTCCCCAGCTCGGACCAAGTCCCGTGGGAACACCGGTGCTTGCACAGTTCAGATTTCAATTCAAGCTGGTTGTGCTCTGATTGGAGGGAAGCCCACATCTCTAGCTCAGGACTTTAGCTGGAAGACGATAGGCAGCTATCCAGCAGATAAATGATTGAATCTGATTGTTCTTAGTGAGGGGCAGAAGGAAAATGGTATGATAAAGACACAAGCGAGGTGATCAAATGGTCAATCAATGAGTATTTATGAAAGGGCCACCATGTACCCACCATCGTGCTTGGAGAAGCCACTATCCCCATAGAACCTATTGTCTGACTGAGACATATGATATAAATGTGTATAAAAGTAGAGAACAGTCTAGCGGTATGGTCCCACCGTGTGTTTTGCTCAGCTGGTGAAGGCCGGGAAAGGATGTAAGAAGAAGCATTAGTTCAGAGAACAAACATCGGGGCACACAACTATCGTCTTCAAAGAAGGTGAAACAGAGCAGCCCTGATCCATGCTGCTTGGGAGAACAAAGGGGAGCAGGGAGGCTGTTTGTGCTCAACATAGGAAGGATGTTCTTAGGGGTGTCTGTGTGGCTCAGTCGGTTAAGCGTCCAACTCTTGATTTCGGCTCAGGTCATGACCTCCACGTTGTAAGATGTAAGATGGAGCCCCACATCAGGCTGTGCACTGGGCGTGGAGCCTGCTGGAGATTCTCTCTCTCTCCCTCACCCTCTGCCCCCCCTTTTTTAAAAAAAAAAAAAAGAAGGATGTTTTAATGATCAGAGTCATCCAAAATGATAGGGCTGACTCGTTAGGCAGGGAGCTCTTCATCGTCAGAAGTGTGCAGCGACAGCTGCATGGAAGCCTGTCACAGACACTTGGAAAGTGGTCCAGTGGGGGGTGGGGGACAGTTTGGGATGACCTTGGAATTTCCTTCTTTCCAATTCTCGGATCCTAGAATTCTTATAGGACAGGATTACACGGCATTTGATCAGTGTAGGACAAACGTGGCAAGAAAATGATGTCACTTCTTGCAGCCTCCAGCCCTTCAGCTGACAGATGAGGCAGAGGATACACACCTGCCCTAGGGAGTTACTGGAGTGAATGAGAAGGCTTGCATAGGAAGCAACTTCATAGAGATGTAGGCGTGTGGCCAGTGAAAACCTGAGAGGCAGAGGCAAGGAAGAAGCTCTCTCTCTCTTTATACATATATGGATAAATATATGCATATACATATATATGTATGTATAACCACACATATTATAACAATAGCAGCTACTATGTATTGAGCCTTTATAATATGCCAGTCACTGTTGCTCCATATTATTCTCCCAGCCAAGAAGTAAAAATAAGAATAAGAAGTAAGTAATATACGCCTGTTTTACTGAAGCTCGGAGAGCCTCTACAGCCAGCAAGCAGTGGAGGCTGACTTTGGGTTCGTATTCCTGTGACTTCAGAGCCCAGGCTCTGGACCAGCAGGTGGCACTGTCCTTGACTCATCCACGCAGGTGACGCGGGCCTATGATGGAGTTGGATAAGGCAAGCGACCTGCAGGTAGAGCTGTCTTACCTTGACCACATGGAGTTTGGGCAACAGATTGCAGTCGGCCAGGGTCAGTTCGTCCCCATCTAAGAATTTGCGCCGGGACCTCCTGTCTTCATCCCCGCAAGTGTTGGCATCGATCTCCTCTGGGAGAGGGTTGTTCAGGTAGTCATCCAGTTTCTTCAGTGCCCTGGTCAGGCCTCTCTCAAGGGCTGGCATGAAACAGCAGAAGAATCTTCAGTCAACCTTCCTGCCACTGGAAACAACCAGGGGTCTTCAGAGTAAAGGAGCCTATCCTGAATTCTGTGCCCCACACTACAGAATACCTGCAAGCCATTAATACAACGCAGCAGAAGAGTGTTAAGTGGTCTGAAAAAGCAAACCTTAACAAAACAATAAACACTAGTTAATCCTTAAAAAAAAAACATAAATATACAAATGCAACCATTAGGATATATATCGAAGTTTTTAAAGTGCTCATCTCCAGTAGATACAATAGTCAACTTTCATTTTCTATTTTGCTTCTCTCTATTTTTCCAATATTCCACAATTAACCCACATAATAATTCTGTAGAAAGAAAGGGCTATTCACTAAGTAAATAACTATTTAGAAAGTCTAGGACAGAGATACGCATCAGACTTTGTGGAAGCATTAACTAAGGAAGCACCAACTGAGCCAACCTGAGAAGGGGGGTGGGGGGGACAAGGCTTCCAGGAAGACACGACATAGGAAAGTAAGCCACCCTGCTTGGTGTTGCCCCTACAGGACCAATGGATACCAGCAGGGCAATACTTCAGTTTAATCTAGAGAAGGTTGTTCTAAAAATCAGAGACGTCCAAAATGGAAGGGCCGGTGCGCCAGGCAGAGGGCTCCACCAGACACAGCTGCATGGAAACCTGTCAAGGACACACCTCAGAGAATGAACATCCAAAGGACGACAATGTGGCAGAAGACTTTTACAGTCTTGCCCCAATAATTTCCTATCCAGTAATTCACTTAGACACAAGAGTAGAACAAAATATTCAAACGAGCAACAGCTAGAAGCCACTATCACTCAGAACCAATCCATCGAGAATCTCACAATTCCAGGCACAGAACACTGGCCACCCGAGCTCCGAGGACAGGGGTGGAGGAGACGGCTGACTGGGCCCCCAGCCACTGCACCTGTGTCATCACCCCATCTCCAAGGCTGTTTTTTCCCAGACTCCAGTGTGTGGAGTGTGATGCTGAGGTAATAGGAATCAGTCCTGATGTTAATTCTGGCGGATGAAAGAGGGATGCTGCCCCTGGGGGAAGAGCCCAGAGGACAGGGACTCTTACTTACTTTTTCCCAAATGTGCCTTCTGTTAGCCACTCCTCCATAACCCAAGTTTGTCTTTTCACAGAAGGCCTTTGTTTGAGACAATGAAACACCACCAGCCCAAGATAAATCAATTGAACACTTACTGGAATGTTTGAAAACAGGCTGGAAGTTGGACGTAGTTTCTCAATACTTCCTTCTCCCTGGTGTGGCATTTGAACTTGTACTTCATCATCTGCTTTGTGTTTCCAGTTTGGGAGAACAGAGTGAGCAGGGCTGGGAAAAAATGCTTGTATTCCCCTTAGTAATTGTCTAGACTAGGATGGGATTGCAAGCCTATTCAAGGACAATAGCAGAGGGTGGGGACGGAACAATAGTCATTATGCGCCCCACCCCCACCCCTGCCGAAGCACTTGTGATCTATATTGGGTTTGTTTGCTTCCTTAAAGCCCTCCACCCCTTTCAGTTATGGCGATTATGACAAAATCTTGATTCTAATGGAGAAAGGAAAAATCAAATAGAGTGCCTGCTGAAATCGGCCCAATGGGTGTCAATCCAAGCGACAGAGACGGATGAAAGGAAATGAAATGTTGCAGACTGTAATTCCAAAATGCCCGCTGCAGACCCGAGCAGGCCATTACATGAGTCTGTGCCCAAGTCCCCCAGTGTGGGAACGATCATGGCGTTTGGTAAAAGAGGCCTAGAAGAGCAACTGGAGCTCCTTGGGAGGACAATTCTGGATACATCTCAACTATGTCTCCATGAGCTCTTGAGGTGGAAGGATTAAGTGTGGCAGTGGGCATGGCTGTCACCTTATGCCGTAGCTGCAACATCTATGTGACATCCCGAGGGGGCGTGTGCTGAGGATGTCCTCTGCTGGTCAATGTCATCACTCGAGTCTGTGTATTTTTGATCAGGAATGTGAAGGGCACAGGTTGGTGGTAATCATGGTAGAGGGAAGAGGAGGCAAGGCAGCAGGAGAGGGGCTGTGTGGCCTGGAGCTAAGCCTGTGTTTAAATTTCAACCCTGCCCAGGATGGATTTATTATGACGCTGCTCAAGTTTGAGCTTCAGTTCCCTTCATCCCATGGGCCCCTTCCAAAGCCTTGAACTTGATTTTTTTTTAAAAATTCCTTATTTGTATTTATTCTATTGGCTTCAGACCCCACAAATCTTGGGAACGTCTCTGATCCTGGAACTCATGACCAAGTGTGACCTTGGGCAAGCTCCTCAACGTCGCTGAGTTTCAGTTTTCTCATCTCAACTGTGAGATGAAGATCCCCAATCTTCCTAAGGCCTGACTCGGATTATTCAGGGAAAAGTGCCTCATACAACGCCTGCCCCGTGCTAGGACATCTCTATGATTTGCTCTTGCTAGTGCAAGACCAAATGTGACAGCTATCTGCTCTCTGTCCCTGACCCCATACTCTCCATCAGTTATTTCCTCAAAACCCTAAGGTGCGGCAGAGAATGAGAGATGTTCAGAAGCTCCAGTTCCGAGGCCCAGGCCCCAGAGAGGACAATCAACAGCCCAGAGTTTTGCGTCCCATCCTGACGGAATCATGTACAGCCACAGCCCTGTCCCGGACGCTCCATCGGGATCCTGCTTGGTGATGCGCTGTGTGAGAGACATGGCCGTGGTGAAACAGACAAAACATGTCTGTGCTAACACACAGCCATTCTTCTCGACTAATGGATACCAGCACTGATACAGTCTCTGCCAGTTCTTTTCCCTCCTACCTACCAACTTATTCCTCTGACCCTGGCTCGATCTGGCATCCATAGAATTCAATTATCTCTTTTGGCCCACGGCACCCAGGTCAGAAAACCGCTGGTGTTGAACTTTCTGCTCAGACAAGAGTGAGGGGGATTATGAAAGAAACCAGAGTGACAAGGAAATGTTAATCCTGTCAGTGTTCGCATTTGAAACCCTCCTCTGAGTAGCAGGATGGGGTAACCCTCAGACCACAGCAAGCCTGAGGCCAGGGGACCCTGAGACCCGGGAGCAATAGAGGCCCAGCCACTTGACGGCTCCCCCCCGTCCTTTAACTGCTGTCTGCCCCTCTCCACCCGCCCTTCCCGTAAAGATTTATTCGGTACCACCCGCAAATGCACTGGGTAAAATATGTGACGAGGAAACAAGGGGAATAGTTCATAAATATTCTCAGCCATATGCAAACAATCTCAAATTTATTTTTCTCCTTTTTAAGGAGGAAAAAAAAATCCACCCATTCCATGATCACTTCCAGATTCATTGAGGTTGATATTACATAAGAACCAATATTGTTTTCTCGTCGTAGAGAAATAATGACTTGGAAACGGCAATTTGAGCTAAGAAAATAATATACTCTTACCAGGGCATGGAGGCTGAATGAGGACCCAGGAGCCAAGACTCTAGCTCAGTCTCCAACCAGCTCTTGCAAGCACGGCTCAACCCTGCTTTGCTGGCATGCTTTGTGCAACAGGGGTATCAGCAAGCACCACACAGACTCTTTGGGGCTCAGAACTCACGTAGAGCAGAACGGATGTCAAAGGTGTTCTTTGAAAGGACAGGAGCAGCTCTGTGGGTCCAGGGTCCTGTACCCTCAGCTCCTCACGTGTGTTTTCTCTCTGGCACGTGAAACTTGCAGAGAGGTAAGAACAGGGGGCCACCTCTGACCACCAGCTGCAGCCTGGATGGGCATCTGTTCAATTCTCCCATGGAGAAGACAACTGTGGCTATTGGGAGCTGGCCCCGGGCCAAGGACCCTCCATCCCGCTGTGCCTCTCACATGGCTCTGATCCAGCACCAGCAAGAATTACAGTAACCGAATGTCTGAAGTAGACTGGGGATGTTTACACAACCTATCATTTAAACACACAGTGAAGCTATTGAGATGGGAATTATTATTCATACCCATTTAAGAGATAAAAAATTGAGTCAGACTTTCCCAAGGCACACACGCATGTGCAAGCCAACTGTTCCCGGGATGCACACTGAAATTGTACCTTGTTTGGTTTTTAACTGCTGTTGTCTTCCTTACGAGCACCAACCCCTGGGTAATGGGAGAATGACAACTTTATTTTAGTCTATTCTGGATTACAACCTAGTCTGATGTAATAAACAGTCCCTCTAGAGAATTCTCAGTCTCTTTTGCATAAAAATGCTCAGTTTCTCAGGAAGTCTCCATCTCCTCTGCTCTTCTCGCTGAGTAAATGGGGGGGGTTGCTGTGACCTTGTGGCCTTGGGGAGATAGGGGCCCTGGGATCAAGCGGGTGGAAGGCTTTGGGAAGCTTCCACAGGTCCTGTGTCTCTTCTCAGTTACCTCTTCTCAGCGAACCCTCCACTTCCTTCCAGATGTTGACCCTAGGGTGGTGGTCAGAGGTAGGCTGTCCAGCTCCCTCCAAAGCCCTGGAAGGATACCTAAGCAAAATGCCACATGGCGCTTCCTAGATGCATCTCTGGTTCCCTGACCATTCTGTTTGTGTCTTCTCCTTCATCCCCAAATCCCCTGGGCCAGAAAGGGTATGCTTTCCTTTATATTTTCCTATGTCATATAATCCACCAACCACAGAACAGCAGGTCTCCCTGGCCCACTGCACGGACCTAAGGGCCATTTCTTCTCTATGAGCTGAGTCCTCTAGGCATGGTTCTTAATGTGCTAAAACTGAGAGATAAAGGAATTTAGAACATTTTAAGACAATAGCTTGGCTTGTAAGGCTACTATCTTGTTGAAAATGCTATTTTGAATCAGCAGCTAAATATTGAATGCTTTTTTTTCTTTCTTAGAATTCCTTCTACAGAATTCTTATCTGTCATGGGGCTGATGGATGCTCAGGACAGGTTAGAATCATGTGTTCAAGAAAGACAAAGAGAAAAGTATTTTCAAATGTTAGCCCTGTTCAAGTAAGGAACAAAATCAGGATTTAAAA